GTTTGACCTTGAAATAAAGGTCAAAGGTCAAATCCAAGGGCATATTTGAAATCTACACATATGACTTTTGGAAAGCTGTCTGTAGAAATTTTTCCCATAATTCCTTCCGTAGGGGAGATAATTAGCATTTAATTTTGCCATTTTTGGACAAGGGTGCATTGCAATGAGTGCCACACCTAGACCCCAATACCGACAAAGCCCAAATTTTACGTGGAACGAGTTGAGATTATACGTGACCTAAATCCAAGAGATGGGTATGGAGGCCCTTACCGTCTAGGAGGAGAAGCGGTAACGGTGTCTTGGCGGCGGAGCCGCAGGAGCCCGCGGAACAAACGGGTCGGGACTAAAACCATGTGTACCGCCAGCGCCTACGCTGGTGGTACAATTAAGTTTGAAAATCTTAGAATGAGGCACATTCCTGAAAACTCGCTTTTAATTTAGCCCATTTTTGATCTATCCTGAAAATTTCATCAAAATCCATCCATGACTTAAGAGTGGAGGTTGGTGATGAAGAGATCAACAGAAAGAGATGATAACATAATTTCTATGACTGAGGAAGTAGATACATACACACGGGCCTCCCTGGCTGCCAAATCACATTGCCAAGTACATCAGGCTGGGCCAGACTACAGGCCTGGCGTGGTCTCGGTGTCTCAGGCACCCCTCTTAGGCTGCTGCGCTGTCCCGGTTCTTGTGTCTTAGGCACACCTAGACTATAGGCCTGTCCCGTTGTTTGTCTCTCAGGCACCCCTCCTAGACTATAGGCCTGTCCCGTTGTCTGTCTCTTAGGCACCCCTCCTAGACTATAGGGCTGTCCCATTGTTTGTCTCTCAGGCACGCCTCCTAGACTATAGGGCTGTCCCATTGTTTGTCTCTCAGGCACCCCTCCTAGACTATAGGGCTGTCCCGGTCTCTGTTCTTCAGGCAACCCTCCTAGACTGGTGTCCTGTCCCAGTCTCTGTTCCTCAGGCACCCCTCCTAGACTGGTGCCCTGTCCCAGTCTTAGTGCCTCAGGCACCCCTCCTAGACTATAGGCCTGTCCCAGTCTCTGTGTCTCAGGCACCCCTCCTAGACTATAGGCCTGTCCCAGTCTCTGTGTCTCAGGCACCCCTCCTAGACTTAAGGCCTGTCCTGGTCTCGGTGCCTCAGGCACCCCTCCTAGACTGCTGTGCTGTCCCTGTCTCTGTGTCTCAGGCACCCCTCTTTCAATATCACTCCACCCTGGCCCCTGTGCTTCAGACACCCCTCCTAGACTATAGGCCTGTTCTGGTCTCTGTGCCCCTCCTAAACTGGACCTTAGATTTAGGGTCTGCGCAGGTCTTCTCCCCAGGGTCCTCCCTGGGGTTGGTCCTGTGGTGTTCACCATATTAATCCCTGGGACAGTCTCTAGGCTTCCACTGGGGTGTTTCCCAGGGGAGAAGGTGCCAGTCCTCTCCATAGTTTCCTTTGGAGCCGTCCTGGGATGAAATTGGAACTCAATATGGTTGCCTGGTGGAACTGATGGTGCCGAGGTCACAACACCTGAGGTTACAACTCCTGGGATTTCATATCTGCCTTTAATTTCAGAGCCTGCCACAGCACCAATGGAGGTGTGATGTAAGACTTGCTTGTTCATCTCTGTATCATTGCCAATCTGAGGCAAGGTCCCTGGTACTGGCATACTCTGGCCCAGGCCAGGGGTCTTCACTCTGGAGCCACTGTATTCAGGCTGGGCACTGACCACGGCCAGAGCTTGGTGAATTCCTTGAAGTGCACTCTCTGAGGACTGTATGTGGGGAAGACTGTGGTTATCTTGTTTGATAGATGAGGATCTGTAGGCACTGGATCCATGGACTAATCTCTGGTCATGAGTTTGAGGAACAGGGAATGGCACTAACTGTGCCTTTCCATTAACAAAATACCCTGCCGGTCCAGCAGAGGTGCCACTCTTCTCCAGCAGGAAGATGTTTTGTTCAGCCCTTTCTTCCCTCCCTTTTCTCTTCAATTCATTTTCTGTGTTGAAAGCAGGCACACTGTAGGATACTTGACTAAAAGAACCAGGTGGTTTGTTCCAGTCATATAAATGCCTTGTTTTAGGATTACCCATATAGTCATGTACATCTTGATTCACTCCCTGTCTGCTACTACAGGGGACTGAATGTTCAGCAACCTTCTCAAATAATGGGTTTGGTCTGTCTTGCACTGCACTGACACCTATTGGCGGATTCATCTCCGTTGCCTGGGCAACTTGCTCAGTCACCATGGAAGCTGCATTTTCAAGGTAGACGGTTCCATCATTAGGGATATTATTTAGATTGTCAATGCCATCTGGTGTCTGGATATAATGTTGGCAGCCTGCTTGGCCATGCAGCAAGCAGAAAAATTGCTGTAAGGAACGAAAAGATGAAAATTATGCCTGGTGTATAAACACCTACAAATGAAATTATTTTTATTTCATTTTTCATATATATTGAAAAGAAGAAACCATTTCCTATAGATTCAGTGAACTGTCAACATGTGAGAGGTGTGTGCAATAATTAAGTCATAAAAAACAAAATTAAATGCAATATTCTAATAAAATGAATAAATAAATTAATATTGTAAATTCAGATATGGCTAAAGTCACTCAGATATTTGCAAGGAAGAAATACCATCTAAAAATCCAAAACACTTTCACCCACTTAATTTTAAAAGATAACTAAAACAGACATAAATTTTCCTAAACTGCAAGATGTCTTATTCAGCCTGATACCCGTACCTTGAGTACTTTGTGTGGCAGCCATGGACACACAGTGACCAGTTGTGGCCAGGGAATCAACACCAGCTGGGACAGGGAGGTGACCGTCAGCAGGATCTGGGCACTGGGGGAAGAGGGGCCACAATTAAAACTGATATTACTCAAACAGAGAATAATACAACTAATAAAACTTTTCCATATCTCAGCTTGAGTGGAGATTTACACACAAAACTAATGACCATCATCAGAAAAAAACAGATATATGAATATAAATATATAAATTATTTTAGAAATTTGTTATGGACATGAGTCTCGTAATTAACTTTTCAAAATTAATTTAATCATACCATGATGTAGTTACCTGAATGAGTTGATGCAAGGAAAACGCAACAGGAATTTTTCATGCTGAAAATAAAGAAATATTATCTTTTGTTCATAATTTATTTGTATTAAATTGTATTTATTTGAATTTGATTTTAATTTTCATGACCCCCCCCCCCCCTTTTGAAATTGATGGCTACGGGCCTGAAGGGAATATACCATGAAGTAGTATTGATTAATCATGGTTGATATTTGTGTAATTGAAGTGAAAAGTTTGGGATAATTAAATCCAGCAGATACATACTGTACTCATATCATGGGTTAGCCAGCTCCTGCCCAGCCAGTCTTGTGGTGATAACACCTTGGTGGATTTAAGTGTGACCTCACCCACCTGACGTATTAACTTAGCTGTCTCTACTGTACTACTAGAGTATAACACCTGCAAAGTTTAATAACTATATATATGTACAGGGGCAGATTGGAAGACCCAGAAGATGGTCAGATTTTCAAGTTGAAGTTACATTGAAGTGTGTCTAAATTCTTTTGTTAGAAGACAGTCAAAACTGGAGGATGGATCAGCAAAGACAATTTGGAAGACTGTCAGAAAATAGCTCGGAATTTGCCCTGGTATAAATAAATAAATAAAGATAATAGCCTGTTGCCTCTACACGTGCTCTTTCCCACCTGGTGGATTAATTTAGTTGTCTCTGTTTTAGTACTGGTATAAAACACCAGAAAAGTAAACTATCAATGTTAAGTGCCCAGTAACAGACCTGGTTTATCCACCAGACTTACCTGTACATCAAACTTGTCTTGTGTTCTACACAGGTGATGTACTGTACCCAGTAACTTGGAGATACAGCTGCTGACATTGCCAGAGTATGCATATCTACAAAGACAATATATGATACATAGAAAGTAGCCAACTTCTAATAATAAAACTATTCCATAACTTAATTAGCACTCATTTGAATCAAGGTGATACATATATATAAAGAATTTATACTTGATCCAATATACAAGTAATACATTTGAAATCAAAGTCTGACACTATTAATATAGTGTATATATGGTATGACTAACTCAATGAAAAGATTATCAATGCTTACTGGGTATGTTTACCCTGCGTGTACAGTGAATACAGTGTTATACTTACTGGGTATGTTTACCCTGCGTGTATAGTGAATACAGGATCATCCAGCATGTCTCGTACTTCGAACTCAGTCCAATCAGTTTCTTCAACAGTGGCTCCACCTGGTGATCTTCCATTAAATCACTCAGCTTGTGTAACACCACGCACGTCCTCTCGTCTATGATCAGGTCAGCGTAGTAAGCTTCTCTGATGGCTTCTCTACGCTGCATACATCTGTAGTCTCTCTCCAGGAGCAGGACATCATATCTTATACACATGTAAAAATTTATATTCAAAATAATATAGATAAAATAAGTGTAAAAGTCTTAAAATTGAGGTGCATTGAGTATTTATGGATACTACCTCTAATACCAATAAGGCCAATCAAAAACTCACTGTTGCTGATAAGAAAAATTATTATAACAAGATTAGTAATCATAAAAAGATAAAAAGGATAAAAGCTTCATGGATATTTGGTATGAACAATGACAAATAAAGCTTGAAGATTAAGGTGATACCTTGACTCCAGTGAATGAAGAAGTTCAGCGTTGTTTATGAAATCATGCGAAGCAATGAAGGTAAACTGCGGACGTTTCTCAACAGTGGGGGTCCTGAGAGTTGAAGCTGGAATTTTGTAATGAGATGTAAATTTTAAATTCAGATTTGAATGAAAATAGTAATGAGAGTGATTTTTATGTGACCTGCTGTTTATTCTACAGGTTATCCATTTTTATGCTTAACACTGTCATAATAACCACAACAAGGCAAAGATGATCAAATAAATTTTTTTTAGACATATGCAACACATGCTACAATGCTAAACACAAAAATACACAAATAAACAAACAAACAAACAAACAAATAAATAAATAAATAAATCACCATTCAGACTAGCTGCTTCCCATGCCTTCTTGACAACCCTCAAGGCGACATGTCTGATATTCTGTCTCTGACATAACTGTGCCCAGGCAGAGGTTTCCAGGTATTCGTACTCTACGACCAGGGAGAACTGGGCCCAGGGAAAGTCAGCGCTGATCTGACCACCAGACACCACCAAGCAGTTGTACTTGTCCAGGCTGAGGACGAAAAAATGAAAATAGAGATGGTGCTGAGAACAGAGTAGGTTGAGAATATGCAACATAGGAGTGAAGAACTCGCAGAGATTTGAAGTTAAAAAGATTATCAATTTCTTTTCTTAAGCAATGCAAACTTCTGCACTAAATGTACAGCTCCTGTGCAGTGAATTCAGATAATACACAAACATTAAAATAATCATGTATAAAATCAAGGAACAGGAACAAATTTTGTAATAGAGTAAATTAAAAACAAAAACAAAAGAACAGAACAGATTAAAAACAAACCAAAATGAAAATTACTCTGTATATCATCAACAAGAACTGATAAACCTAATATGGCTACAATAATATGGCAGAAAAGCATACAAGTTATGCATAAAAACAAAAATTAAAACACTGTCTTCAGCAGACTTGATACTGTATCATTCTCACATTTTAAGCTGTAAAATAAGTCAGCAGTCAGACAGAGCACCTGTTTATGGCTGCAGGATAATGAACAGTGGTTAGCTGCTGAGAGAAATTTAAAAAGTAACAAAATGAAAATAAAAATTAAAACAAAGTATCAGCCATGGACTATGCTGGATAATGAACAGGGGGTTAGCTCCTGAATAAAATTTAAAAAGTAACAAAATAAAAACACAAATTAAAACATAGTATCAGCTGTGCCCCATGTGTACCTATCAGTAATAGTGTGATAGCTGAGACTGGGAGTGTCTTGTTCAGGTAAAGTGGTGGCTTGAATACCAGCAAGAAGTGACACTGTAGTCTGGATATGAATCATCAGGCTGGGCAAACTACGGCTACAGATGATCAGAATCTGAGAGGGGAAAAAGAAGGCAGAATAGAGTTTGAGAGAAAATGATTTTTAGATGACTTGTTACTGACCAAGTAAAAGCTTATGAAAGCCTAACCAAAATGTTTCCGTTTCCAGAATATCCCAAAATATTTGTAGGAAGAATAAAGATAACTTTTTTGTTTTAAATTCAGATGCTACAGTACAGACAAAGTAGTAGAGACAAAAATTAATGTTAGTCTTATCAGAATTATTTCTTTTTCCAAACATTTTCCAAATACTATAAATCACCCCATCCTTGAGAAAAAGTAAAAAGAAAGGCTTTAATAAAAAAAGTATTCCTCCGTGCTGTCACCTTAGGTTCTTGGTCCTTGCCGCGAGCCGCCATCTTGTGTAACCACTCACTGAGGTACTTGCAGAGGGTGTTCAGCTTTGGGTGCAGCTCTCTCCTCTGGTCTAGTGTGTACTGACTCTCAAACAGATGACGACGAATGCTGTCTAGACAGCCTGAAAGGACGTCATGTCTGCATTATATGTATAGTAAGTATAATGAAAATAACTGGTACAAATTTTCTAAAATCAAGATTACTGTTCCTTTCTAAACAATGTAAAGAACAGCAATACTTGGCATGTCATTCTAAATAAGCTGTATAATTAATAAACAAAGAAAAAATTCCCATATCAAGATAATCACTTCCACTTATAACAATGAGAGACCAATATCACATGGATGCCATACTGGAAAATAAAACACATGTTAAAGAAAACAGAACATTTCTCTTACCCCCTAGTATAGCTTGGTATTTCTCCTGCATGGCAGTCAGGTGAGCTATGGCAGAGGGTATACAACAGCTGGTCAGGATATCTGCTGCTCCCACCAGAGCATGGACAGTTAACACAGCCAGGGACAACCTAGAGTTCTCTGGAATATGTTAGTATTAATATGTGCTTTACCTAAATTGAGATATTTATGTTTTATCAGGCAATACTTTACTAAGATGTAACATAGAATCCGTCATTAACACTCAAATGCCATATTTATAAAAAGTTTTCAACAGGTGTATATTAAATAATGGTTAAATAAGAAACTGACGTGATCTCCAATAAAACGCCTTTCTTGATTCTCATTATTAAACATGGTGTCTGACTTCAACTGATTAATCAAATGATAGCCATTAAAGCGTCACAAGCAGAATTTGTATCTGCATTCAGAGACTCAATGAGACTTAGTAAACAAACATCACAACAATGAGCCATTTGTCTAAGCAAAGCTTTGTTATGAGATCATACGCTGAAGTAAACCAGTTATAATTGAATGATGATACATATCATAGTCTCCATTCAGAATAGGGGACTAACTAGTCCGAGGGTCAAATATGCCAACCCAGTTGAAAACTTTCTCACAGGATATCTATGTCTATTAGTGGATTAGACAGCAAGCTTTATAATGGGTCACCATATTTGACCCTTGGACTATAGCTAGTAAGTCCCCTATTCTGAATGGGGCCATACTGACAAGCTAACAGTATCAGTGCCCACCTTTAGTCCCAGCTTGGAGAGACTTCTCATACTGTTTGAGTATAAACCTGGAGATGTCTGGAGAGAGAGAGGAGAAGGGATGTGTGGCAGGCAGTACACCATGGTCACTCAGACAGCTCAGGGCAGACTGGCTGCTACTCTCAATATAGGACAGGAGACCTTGATATGTGTCTGAAATATGACATCAAAGGGGAAGGTTTCTGATCTAGAAAACATTACTCACGAGAACACTCAACAGGACTTTATTGCCCATTGTACTGAAAATCTATAATTGTGATACGGGGAAATTACTTAGGCTTAACAAGTGTTGATAAGTTTTTCACCATTTCTGTCTCTTTTTTAATACATTTGGTGAAATTGTATACTTCTAGCTTCTGAAGTTAATCAAGGTAATATGCTGTTTATGCTGTTTATATCTGGGAAAGATCCCTCATTTCTGCATATAATTAATCTATAGATGTATTTTTGCAGTAATGTATGACATAGTCAAAGATTTCAATAAGTAAATGTAGTTTTCAAAAATTTGAATTTGAAATTTTGAATTGGAAAAAGGTGCAAAGGCAATTATTCATTAAACGTAATTCAGTACAGTGGTGAGAGAATATATATATGTCATACCAGTCATTTTAATATCAAGGACTGTGCTCCTTGACTTGGAGCTGCCATTTTTATTGGGAGTTCTGGGAGTCTCTGTCTTCTTCTCCACACAGAGGTTCTGCCTGGCCCTGGGGGTTCTGGGAGTGGCATCAGTGGACACTGAATGTTAACATACTCAATATTTAAAATAAATTCATATCTGAATTAATAATTTTATTTAAAGGCCTGAAGAGGATAACTTGCTAAAAATTAAGAACCTAAACATCACTTTTTATCACATTCCAACTAGTTTGGTTAATCACTACCAGAAAATAAAAATCCAAAATAATGAAAAATATGAAATAAATTTAGAAAATAAAAATAAAAGACTTCAAAATCCTTTAAATGCATCTGTAATCTGTTCACAAACCTTCAAAATCGCAATCATTTGTTTAGCTAGGTGAACAGAAGTTCAAGACACACATGCTGCTACAATGAGCCAGCATTACCTCAGTCTACTACAAGTCTGCTGATGATGTTCCCATAGAATCTTTCCCTGATAACCTAGCATACAAACTTATATCACTAAACTCTAACATCTTGTTACTTAAATGATCAAAATGTTCGTTAGCTTGGTAGTTGGATCATATATGAAAATAATCAAACACAAGCTGAAAAACTTTCATACTGTTACCAGGTTGGCCATTAAATAACAATATGAAAGTTTTTCAGCTTGTGTTTGATAACTTTTATCTATGAACTTGTTCCTTACTTTTATCCGACTCACTGACTGCAGACAGCTCTGGTTGTGTTTTCCCAGTCTCCATTTTGTCTCTTGCTGGAGCTGGTAGAGCCCTCACACTTGCAGAAGAGGACCCAGTCTTTTGGGGCTGTGTTTTCCCAGTCTCTAGTCTGTCACCTGCTGGCACTGTCCTGGTTCTAGCACCTGCTGGGGTGGACTGCTTCCAGAGAGGTGGGGACACACACCTCAGGAATAGGAAATTCTCCAGTGGATCAAATCTGGACTGAGGTGATTTAGTCTTTGGTTGAACTCCTGGTGTTTTCTTCTGCTTGAATGGTGGCTTTATAGCATTCTCACCCGTGACTGTCGCTGTAGCTACTTGCTTGGGGGAAGAATGGGAGCGTGTAGGCAGTTTGGTTTCTGTAGCAGTGGCTGTTGTTTTAGGTATTTGGTTGATGGAAGAATGGAAACCTGTAGACAATTTTCCTGTGGCTGTTGTTGTAGGTATTTGTTTGGGGGAAGAATGAGAACTTGCAGCCAATTTGTTTTCTTTGTCAAGTGTTGTAGGTGCTTGGTTGGGGTTAGAATAGAAACCTGTAAGCAGTTTGCTTTCTGGCTCTGACACAACACTTCTGTCCCGGGTTGGCTTAGACATAGCACTACTGGATAGGGCTGACATAGATATAACAATGCTGTCCCGGGCAGGCTCAGGAATAACACTGTTGTCCTGGGCAGGCTCAGACATAACACTGTTGTCCCAGGCTGGCTCAGACATAACACTGATNCTGGATAGGGCAGACTCAGATATAACACTGTTGTTTTGGGCCGCCTCAGACATAACACTGTCGTCCTGGGCAGGCTCAGATATAACACTGTTGGCTTGGGCAGGCTCAGATATAACACTGTTGGCTTGGGCAGGCTCAGACATAACACTGTTGTCCTGGGCCAGTTCAGATATAAAACTGTTCTTCAAGGTTTGCTCAGGCATAACACTATTGTCCTGGGCTGGTTCATCCACATCCATAACATGGCTGCCTCTGGCTGGTTCTAAGTCTTCTTCAGCTGTTGGACACTGAAATAATAATATGAGTGCACAAAGAAGTTTGATTGCATAATATTCCTTAAGAACAGATGGAGCATTGTTTTCTTTTGTGTAAATTTTCAGGTTACTTCCTTATTTAATTTATTTAAATACCCTGATTTTCACCAAATATTGAACTACGTATCAATTTGGACCTGCTGTCAAACTGCCATGTGTCAAACTGGGGTTATTTCTTTCTTACATACTGCATTTTTATTAAGCAATATATCTTAATTCCAAAGTAAGCTCAAGTACTGAAAACTGAATTCCTAGTAATATCTCAACCACACAATAAGAACATTGCCTGCAGTCTTAGCATGTCAATAGGTACCAGCGTGGTACAAGTCTCATCTCACGCCAAAAATCTGGGAGTTTATTTTGACAGTACATTGTCCATGAACAGGCAAATTTCTAACGTATCTAAAACATGTATGTTCAATATTAGAATCATTGGTTCCTTACGAAAACATTTAACCGACTCTACTACAGCAACAGTTATACATGCCCTGGTTACATCAAGACTTGATTTCTGCAACTCCCTTCTTTATGGATCTTCAGAGGAACAAATCAAACGGCAACAGCGTGTATAGAATATATCTGCTCGCCAACTGACCCGCACTCCAAAAGAAAACCACATTACTCCTGTTTTAATGATGTTGCACTGGCTCCCTGTCCGAGCAAGCATTTTATTCAAACTTTTAACATTTGCACATGCAGCATTTTATAAACTTACACCTTCTTATTTAAATGAGCTTGTTTTACACTATGTGCCATCAAGAAATCTCAGATCAGGTGATCACGTTCTTCTTAAGACTTATAAGGCAAGATTAGTATCATATGGTGATAAAGCTTGTAAATTTGCAGCACCAAAAGAATGGAATATTTTACCCATCAGTCTTAAACAAATTGTGGACCCTGGACATTTAAAAAAGAAACTAAAAACCCACCTTTTTAAACAATATTATCTTTAAATTCTTGAAAAAACACTTCTTAAGAAAAACTGTTCTTAGTCATAGTTTTAAATTTCTCCTTTTTTATCCATTTTATATATCCTAATATTTAATCTTTAATATTTTTCTATAATCATTTTCCTTCTTTTTTTCATCTTATAACCATTAGCAATATTTTTCTTTTAATTTGAATTTTATAATTTTTGTAAAGTCTACTGAACACGTTGGATTTTAGACTATAAATAAATATTATTATTATTATTATTATTATTATCATTATTATTATTAAGTACAAGTAGCTGCCATTCTGCCCAAGGTATCCTCTGGAGAATCCAGGCACTTCCAAGGTGGTTCGTTCTATAAGGCGCTACTTATTTTCTAAGTTATCAACTATGCCATGCTGATTGCACTTACGCTAGGAGCTATTCTGTAACTCCAAAATTCTTTTATATGTTACCCATTACCAAAATAATAATAAGGATAATGACAGATGATGAAATATATGTTATAATATGTTCTGAGACAGCTTGCACCTAGCCACCCTGCTAGATTGTACTTACAAAATCTGGCAAAACTACTGCAGCTTTGAATTTCTCTTTTATAACTTTAGGTTTTGGAGGCATTTCTACAGACGGTTTATAATGACGATCACTCCTGAAATGTAATATTTTACTTTTTTGTCAAACAGCAATTTATAACAAGTAATTGTACAATGTTATAAACTTCCTTTTATTGAAATTTGCCTAAATGTCATTCCCTGCATGCAAAGTACACTGTAATTTTCAAAAGAAACAACAGGCAGGGATTGCCTAAATAAAAGACATATTTTTGGCTAGTAAACAAAAGTAAGGAAGAAATGGCTTGGTGGTCTTAAAGCCAGGGTCAGGAAGCCACTGAACATCAGAAAATCCCCAAGAAAAACTGTTTACTGCTTTAAATTGGAAAATAATTGTGTCTGCAATACTGTAACATTATACTACAATACCTAAACAACGACTCCTCTGTATATAACACTCCGTCTTCATCCGTGCAGGGATCTTTGACCTTAGGTGGCTGTAATCTTCCCAGCAGGTCTGGAACCCTGGGTGCCTGGCCCCTGGTCTCTACAATGGTGTCTTCTACAAATACCTCCTCTAAACTGAACTCACTGTCTGCAGTGAAGAGAGAGAGAGAGAGGNGATATAACACAGTTGTCCTGGGCAGGCTCAGATATAACACTGTTGTCCTGGGCCAGTTCAGATATAAAACTGTTCTTCCAGGTTTTCTCAGGCATAACACTATTGTCGTGGGCTGGTTCATCCACATCCATAACACTGCTGCCCCTGGCTGGTTCTAAGTCTTCTTCAGCAGTTGGACACTGAAATAATAATATGAGTGCACACAGAAGTTTGATTGCATAATATTCCTTAAGAACAGATGGAGCATTGTTTTCTATTGTGTAAATTTTCAGGTTACTTCCTTATTTAATTTATTTAAATACCCCAATTTTCACCAAATATTGAACTACCTATCAAGTTGGACCTGCTGTCAAACTGCCATGTGTCAAACTGGGGTTATTTCTTTCTTACATACTGCATTTTTATTAAGAAATATATTTTAATTCCAAAGTTAACACAAGTACAAGTAGCTGCTGCTGCCATTCTGCCCAACAGTGAAGGATAATGAGAGATGATGAAATATATGTTATAATATGTTCTTGGACAGCTTGTGCCTAGCCACCCTGCTAGATTGTACTTACAAAATCTGGCAAAACTTCTGCAACTTTGAATATCTCTTTTATAACTTTAGGTTTTGGAGGCATTTCTACAGACGACGTATAATGACGATCACTCCTGAAATGTAATATTTTAGTTTTTTTATCAAACAGCAATTTATAACAAGTAATTGTACAATGTCATAAACTTCCTTTTATTGAAATACAAAGATATAAATATCTTTGCCTAAATGTCATTCCCTGCATACAAAGTACACTGTAATTTTCAAAAGAAACAACAGGCAGGGATTGCATAAATAAAAGACATAATTTTGGCTAGTAAACAAAAGTAAGGAAGAAATGGCTTCGTGGTCTTAAAGCCAGGGTCAGGAAGCCACTGAACATCAGAAAATCCCCAAGAAAAATTGTTTACTGCTCTAAATTGGAAAATAATTGTGTCTGCAATACTGTTACATTATACTACAATACCCAAACACTGACTCCTCTGTATATAACACTCCGTCTTCATCCGTGCAGGGATCTTTGACCTTAGGTGGCTGTAATCGTCCCAGCAGGTCTGGAACCCTGGGTGCCTGGCCCCTGGTCTCTACAATGGTGTCTTCTACAAATACCTCCTCTAAACTGAACTCACTGTCTGCAGTGAAGAGAGAGAGAGAGATCAGGGAGGTACAGGCACTACTACTACTCAAGAATGGGTATTACAAGTATTACATTTTTTCTTAGTTGGGCAAATTGATTTCAATAATAATGGACCAAGACTAACTGCTTTCCTTGTCCCTATCATTTGAGATATTACTGCAGCTACATAGATAAGGAATTGATGGGTTTTTGCAAGTTGTCAGACATAAAACTGTTCATGCCACGACCAATAAAACTTATAAAATTTTCAATAAAAGAAAATTGTGCTCAGTTGACAACAATCTTAAGGAAGGAAATTTTGAATTTGCAGTAAAACCAGCATTAACACAGACCAGCTCAACTATCACCACACCTATCCTGGGGCTCCATTTTCCTTTCTCTCTGCTTTAATTCAGAAAGATTCTAACTGTAACAGTTACAGTAAATACCATATGATATATTCCTGCTTGTCTTAGGTAGCACTCCACATGACTTACCAGACTCCAGGTCAGGCACAAATGTCTCCTCTCCATTTCCTAGCCTCTTACTGAGCTCCTTGTACTCCTGTGTCCAGGACGGAGACTGAGGGTTGGAGCTGGGCACTATTTCAATACAGTCCAGGTCCTTCTTAACAACCACTACCGGGCTACAAACAGAGCCAGTTTATAATTTAAATTATATACATATAACAATCCATTTATTAATGAATTTTTGAATTTTTTGGATCTCGAGTGAAAGTTCTGATTCAATCATCAGTGTGATACCTCAAAAGAGAACAACAGATTTTATCTGTGCTTCATCTGGGACCAGGCTTTTGAACAGATATCTAGCTGTCTGACACTTTACATGAAAAAGCCCATCAGGTCACTGGTATACATTATTGAAGATCTGTGTTTACATTCACAACATTGGGTTGCTACTTTGCTATTTCACAAGTCCAGTAATACTTTTAGATATTTTCCCTCTCCAGTGATATGGAACTTATATTTAAAAAATGTTATCACAGTTGCACTGACGTTTGTCGTTTGTCTTAATTTTTTATTTATTTATAAAAACAACATTGAATATGCTACTGCGCCTTGTAGAGTTAAATCATGGTAAGCAAACTAGCCCCTTATGTTAAGTTTACCTGTAATATTTAACTGGTTTCACTGCCTCACTGACTTTTATATCTGTGACAAGTCCACCATGATCTGTGACAGCAGACATAGCTGATTCACAAGATACTGCAACATGAATAAGTCATTAATTATGCATCTTACAATAGAGTCACATGCAAAGGTGTAACATACTGATGAACAAATACACCTTTCATTTCTTTTTACTAAACTTTACAAAAAAAGGAAATATACAATTCTTAATGTAAAATATGCAAGCAATAACAAGAATAATCAGAAAACTGTTCACTGATTTCAAATTCTCTCTTAGATTAACATGCCCAGCATTATATAAGTACATATTATTAAAACCTTGAAATTTAACAGAGACAAGACTTTTTAACTGCATCTAAGATTCCGTCCTTTCCTTTGACTGTTGCTCTATGATATACTTGATCTATGCTACCTCTCCTCCATGGTTTCCTGTGTGCATCTTCTTCCAGCACTTCTCCGTGTAAACAGCCACCTATCTTCTCCAAAGGCAGTGTGGCTGGAAGTTGGGCATTCAAGACAGCTTTCTTCTTCTGAACAGCCTAAGTTAAAGGGTTGTTTTATGAAAAGTAAATTAAATTTCTAATAGAGATGATAAATATAATATTCGTGCTAAGAGTGTGGGTGGGTGGGATCAAATGTACACAATTTATGAAATTTTTTAAACTTTTGACCTACCTCTGTCAAATAGTCTATAGCCAAGAACCTAGGCATCTTGTAAAGCTATTCAGTCCCTCACTATTATGTAGGAGTCGCTTGTTGTACCTCAAATATAAGTATAATGGCCGATTTGTCTGGTTTGCACTAGCAGTAGCAAGTCTGGAAATTTGTATTCTCTGCAGATTTTATGACACATTCATGACCAATCCACCTATACTGTTCCCATTTCATAATACCTTATCCATCAATAGGGTTAAACCTTAAATTACAATTAAATTCGATCAATTTTCCGTGTGATAGAGGATCTATGTGCAGTGAGTCAAACTTTAGCATTTCGCATTTTCCGCCTGTTCCAATTTGCTGCGGTCCTACTCTCGATAATTTTATATATCTTATTTCACTATATAATTACAAAACAATGTTCAATAGTAAAATTAGATTCACCATTTCAAACAAACATCGATTCACATAAGTAAATTTGATTTCTCTTTACTTGATCTTGTCTAAAGAACACTAACAACCAATCACGTGTTGGAATTAATTTACTTCGATACTGTAATTAAGAAATGCTAAATGTAGTAGGTTGCTGAAAATAGTTTTACGAATTACTGTTAGGTTAAACGTGTTACATGGAAAAACATTCTTATCTATGGTAAATCTACAATCCAAGGTGAGTATCTGATGTTTTACTAGAGTTCAATTTTGCTCAGATGGCTCAAAAAGACCTAGGTAACCAACCTAACTACAGGTCACGTGATTATGCTGTTTTAGATGGTCGACGTTAGTTCCAAGACTCAAGTCTAAGGTCCACCGCGCACTTGCATTGCGCATGTGACGTCAGTCAATAACAAAAACAAATTTATCGCATTCATGCTGTTGCATTGCTGTCTTCTCAGTTAAACTTCAAGTAAGAACTTTAGTTTTGCGGTTTTCTTCGTTTGCTTTGAAATGACGATTTAAGTGTATATCTTGTAAGTTGAATGTCCTCTTATTTCTTTTATCTAATTTGAATAAAAGAACTATGTTTTGTCTTTAGTCAGTTTAATTTTGAACTTCATTTTTACTTCTCGTGAAAGCGATATATATTCATTAGCGTTTTTGGTACTGTTCTGTACAGTAGAAGTACACTGTGGTAATACATGTGCCTCTCACAATAGTCATGGTGGTGCAAATGCCCGTCTAATTAAACATTTTGACGAAGTACAAAATCACACAAATATATATATATACTTGACTAGAATAAAAAATTTTAGAGGCAGGTTAATTGTTTATTTTCTCTCTTTAAAAACACATATTTATTTTAAAAGTATTATATTGTCATATTTTAAAAGTCACACTAAGCTAGCCCAGAATGCAAAATTAAAAAAATATTATTAGATTTTTGTGATGTCCCTTGTTATTCCTCTTCTTCTTCTTATAATTAATATACCAGTAATTCAAGCTGTAATTTTTATATCTAAATCATTCCTGTTGAAAAAAAATAAATATCATGATTGTTGTTTTCTAACCAATGCATAACTTCCATTTGGATATACCATAGTGTTCCCATCAAATGTTGTGGATGACATTAATTTCGCTAGTTAAGAAAAAAAGAATTTGTAGATTTTTTTCTTTTATTGGCTTTAAAGACAATTATTATAAATTCAAGAAATTTGCCAAGAAACTCCACTGGATCATTCAAGCTATTTATTTGATATTTGGTGATCATTTCAGCATCTTTCCTTTCAGCATACTTTATGAATAATATGTTAGAAGTAATTGAAAGTTTAATGGTAAAATATTGGCTTAATTAATTCTCGTTCAGCAGAATTGTCTCATTGTTTCTTGTGCATAGGACTACATATATACATTGTGGCGGCATCTGCATCAGGAAGGTATTCAACTCATTTGTTGCACAATCTGCATGGTGTAAGCACTCAGCATAGTTGGACCCCTTTGCAAATTTTGGACAAACGGTACCCTCTACCAGTGCGGCAGGTTATATAGGGAAATATGGAAAATCCACCCTTTGACTTTTGGCTAGTTGATAGTGAAGATATATATATATATATATATATATATATATATATATATATATATATATATATATTTGAAAGCATATGTTTCATTTTGCAGAATGATTGACCCCAAACCACATAATACAAGGATTTACTGTTTAGCTGTACGATTATGTACAAAAAAATAAAAACAATTCTTATTCATGTGTACATTACAGAATACGTTACTCTTATTTCACCTATATACATTTCAGGTTTCAGGCCCTGCATGTACAAGGTACTGGTACAGTACCTTTGGGTTCACAAAACTGCTGCAATAGTTGTGAAAAATCATTCCTCTTCGTTTGTTGCAGGCCTATATTTTTAGTCTTCAGTCATTAGCTTCATTCACAAGCTAAGATTCACTGCATGGAAAAAATGTTCCATTGTATCCTTGTAGATCACTGGACCTGTTGTGATCATGAACTAAGGGAAGAATGCAAATCCTCCTTCAAATTAATTTTTTATTGGGGGTATGGGGTATGGGTATGCCTCAGAATTTGTATTTTCCTTATATTTAAGGTTTAAATTCACGTTTGTTATCAGAAGTTTGTTGGTGAATTAGGAGGTGAATTAGGAGGTCAATGTTTATTGACATTGGTAACACGAAAGTATTCCTCAACTCTCCTCAGCGGTAGTTTTACTGCATCTGAGCCATCGGTAGCATGTCTGCTAACTTTGACAAACATCACTGAACATTTTGAAAGATTCTCAGGCATGTTACAGACTCCATGTATTTCAGTGGGCATAAATTCTACATGACTGCAATGTTGAAATAATCCAAAACCAATATATAACTTGCATAAGGCAAAGAGTATAAGCAAATCAGATGAGAAAAACATTTTTTTTATTTGCACTGTTGAAAAAAATAAGAGGTTTGCAAACATGGATTGCATAAAACTGGAAAACTGTAACAACTTATTCATATGTTTGTGCATTTGATTGTTTTTCTGTTGTAATAAAGATTTTTTTGCATTCGCACAAGTAGGCCTACTGCTATCAGGATACTAGAGTATGAAGTTTACTTAAAATCCTTTAACGCATGTACAGTAAAAAAAATGAAATTCTATATCCATGCAGGTTTAATTTTCATATCTCAAATTTCAGGATTTTATTATCATGATTACTATTTTATACTAGTATATAGTTCTAGTTTGTTAAACTTATCCTGAAAAAAAAAAAGATTTTCAAAATTAAAAATCAGTATTAAAATAAATAAATAAATAAATAAATAAATAAAAACGCACAAGCCTGCCACACTGTCACTAAATTATAACGTATTTTATTTATGTTTATAATTTTATTCTAATGCATTATAAACACTATGTGAAAATTATATCTAAAGAAAAAAATTTTGAAGAAACTTTTCACCAGAATTCATACAGAGCTGTGGCACTGCCCTAAAAATCTGTCTATGGGATGTTAGTGCTGGAAGGTCCATACACTGATATATTATATTACTGCATGAAAATATGAGACAACATATATTGAAGGAAAAAAGAAAATTTGAAACAACATTGAATGAAAAAATAATTGCATGAAAGAATTGCATGAAAAATACTGCAAGAAAATATGAGACAACATTGAATGGAAAAAAGAATATTGCATGAATATGAAACATTGAATAACAAAAATTTCAATTGAATGAAAAATATAGCGGCAGACCCTCAACGCTGTTATACCCCATTGGCAATTACTCATATCATGCCATAGATTATATAGCGTCATTAGCGATGACCTATTTATATACGACCTTCACATGCGCAATGCAAGTGCGTGGTGGACCTTAGACTTGAGTCTTGGAACTAACGTCGACCGTTTTAGATGACACATATTTGTATGTATTTCCACCTGAAAGACAAACAATATTTTTTATTCAATTCCCACGTTGGATCCAACGGTTATGTATGTTAGGTAATTTTAGGCTAGAATTTGTGTTCTGCTATTTCCCCCCTGAACTCATTCGTATGAATTTTGGAAATACTTCGTACGGGAAATCATAACTAACTACATGTACAGCGGTTAATTTTCTTAGCTGGTCAACATTTAGCTAGATAGTAATTGCAGTGCACCAGGAATAAAACATATGTAGTAGTTGTGGTTTATATCAATAGCAAAAACAGTGTAATTTAAAAGAACATATATATGTTGGAAGATAAAATTTAACTATTGTAAGATTGAAATATTTCTATTCAGGGGAGTTAGTTGAATTTGGTAGCATTTTTGCTACAATGCAGCTTAACACTTCACACCCTCAATCTTTAAATACTGTTACAATTAATATAATGTAACTAGACCAAATACTAGGTATAAAGTGACCCAATTTTCAGTTTACACTTAAAATATGTGGAAGGATTATTTTCATATGTGTTCTTTGAGCAGTCTGTGGCCTGAGGAGGTTCAGCTAAATGTAGTTTGCACTTGGTAAGGTCAGTTAATCTCTCCTTGGTGACTGTGTGTCATGAAAAAAAAATTGAAAATCAATTGCTTTTCAGTATTTTTCAACCAGTACACACATATGTAAGCTGCCAAATAAATATACTGGGTGGTTGTCTTGGGAAATTTTATAATATAACAATCGCATTGGTGCACAAAGGATAACAACTGTTCATATGAAATCCACATTTCACAATATATAAATACAATGTAAACAACTCATTGAAATATAATAAATTCCATTTTACCACTAAAATGGCAGTTAATGCAATTAATTCTTGAATTTGTGCTTGCCATCAAATCACGTGACCTCCATAGATTGCTACACTCTGTAATAATCTCTGAAGAGAATATTACAAAAAACCAAACTTTCTAGAAAAAAAGGGACTAAATTTGAATGTTGGAATGGATTCATTAACTGTTAATAAGTATGGGAATATTGCCATTTTTCTCAGGAAAATTCATTTTTAGGCCAAAATGGGAGTTGTTATCCCTTTAAATTCAAATATAACCATCGGGATCATCTGGTGTGTCAAATATATCCAAGTTATCACTTGGCGACATCATACAGATTTTATCCCATAAATCCACGTGCCTACAGTGTGGGCACTTAATCGTATTACATTTTTCTTTGCATTTTCTATGTATTTTTACTTTACACTGCTCACAACACCATAGTGGTGTAGGAGGTGTAGTTAATATCAAATCCTCTAAGCATATAATGCAGTGGGTACATGTACTAGTAGTGGTGCTTTCCATTGTTGTTAGGTATTTTGGGTCATCTATATATAGGATCCAATACGAAATTCATTACCATTGTGATATGAGGATTATGAATCTAAATGGTTGTTGGCAGATTTAAAAATTGCTTGGTGATACTACAGTCTTGCAAACATGTATTAAAGCAAGGTCCTCCAGTAGTACCATAATTACGTTTATTTAAAATATTCCTGGAATTATCACTTTCATACACATATTTGTATTTTTTGGAATATTTAGAAAAGAACACTTATTTGATAATGTTACTTCAGTTGAACATTAACTAGTGCGTTATCTTCAGTACATGTACCTCTTAGAAGTGAGTTATTATTAGCCACAGGGATTTTGGTAAGATAAGAATTTAAATCATTTTTTAAATTTTTTGCAGGGTCTCTATTTTTTAATGTTAACCCATTATTGCAGACAGAACTGGGTCAGTAGCTGATCCGTCTAATTTGTGTGGAATCTAGGGGCGTATTCCCATAGATTTCAGATTGATCTATCCCTGTGGGGAGTCTCACTAAATTACTGTCCGATAATCTGGCTTAAATGTCCGTCCCGCCTACTACAAGATGTAAAGGGGTAATTAACTTTTGTGCCCGCTCTGCTGACAGCTATTTAGCGTGAACCCCCAGGGAGTTAGGTCGATCTAGTTGGATCGATCTTATCTCTGGGAATGGGGTCTAGAAGTTCATGTACAGTGTATGTGCAAAATAATTAGCTTATCAATATGTCACTAAATAATAAGAGTCAAGACAGACTGCATTGGTGAGTTAAATGTGAAAAAAATCTTAGAAATGTGGGTCTTAAATCATTGTATTCATGTCTGGATTTATTGTCTGAATTTTATTAGCAGTTATGATAATAGTGTGTGTGTGCGCGCGTACATATGCTGTTTACGGTGATGACTATCAATGGGGAAAAGTCATAATTTCCTAAAAGAAGAGCATTCCTATTGAGTGGTTGCAACAAGATTGAAAAGCAGACTGCCTTATAGTTCTATTCTAGATAAAAAAGCACAACAAATGCTATACATATATATAATTTTTATGATTTTAAAATGATGTATCTGAAAGTTAAATAATTTTTGCCCATTGAAAAGATCCAGTCATTACCATACTAGTATATAAAAGTTATCTTCACATGGTCTGTTATAAGTTGTACAGAACTTTTTTGTGGCATATACAGTAACTGTGGTGTACTTCTACTTATTTTCTCTGGAGAAGATAAGAAGAACGGTTATGGAAATATCCATGTGATCAAGTTGACTCTAGATCTACATCTAATTAAAGTTAATAAATCATTTACACTGAGTATATGTACATGCATTTTTTTTTCTTAATTTTTCAGGAAGAAGAATGTGGGAATCAACTTAAAAAAAAAACTAAACCAGGATTAACTTGGGAGCTTAGAAAATGACGTGAAATTTATTAATATCGACGTTTACCCCATTCACACATACACTGTATATTACCTAGAGGAGTGTATTAAGAACTAGCATATAAACCAGTAACCCAGTATTCCTGCAATCATGGTTAAGTTGACAATGGACATGATAGCGCGGTGTACCTCCGGCTACACCAAGAAGAAGAGAGACGAGAGTATGCAGCACTACCTGAAAAGACTGACACACTTATATCTGGAGGACAGGAACATTGATGATATTGTAAGTCAATATATATACAGGGAGGAGATTTCTTTGACTATTGACATATTCCTGACTTTTTGGTTGGCGTTGGTGCTTACAACAGTAATATATCCCTGAATAGTGTTGCCACTGGGATCCATATATTATGGACAAGAAAAAAGTTTTCACACAAATATTGATGGTTTTTTTCAGGAGTGTTAGGCAGTTATTTGGGAGAAAGTGCATGATTATAATTTTAAAGAAATTGAGGGTTCCTAATACTTTAAAAAATTGCTTTATGAAATGATATATTAAATATATTATTGATTCAGAACGTAGTAAAGAAAAAAATAGCTGGGAACATTTGAATCTAGCAGATACACATATACAATTACAGATATTTACTATATATGTGATTGATTCAGATTGATAAAGAAATCAATTTCAGCCATGCAGTTAATAAAAAATTGTTTGATCTGTAGTTACATCAGTGGCTCCAGGTGAAATGAAATTAATTTATCAACTTGATCTGTGTATTATCTGTACAAAAATTCCAGAAAGATAGAAATTCTTGAGATTATGACTACAAAGACATCCTAATACTTACCCATATGGGTCTTGGCTATATTGATTCCAACTTTTTTTTACAAATTAGACTACAAAACTAACTGGATCCTGTTTGAGAAACGAATTATTTTGTTGATGGATTTCATTAAAAACTTACACATTTTAGAATCAGTTTCTGGATTTAAGGTTTTTTCATTGCTGGTAGAAGGTTACCATAATACATGACTCAGTGACTTGACCAGTGAGAGTAGTCAAACATGAGGAAGAACCATGTATTGACGGATATAGCATATCCAGAAGGGTCTAAGATTTAAAACATTATATTTATGATCTCAACTGATGTCTAATGACCTCTATGAAAACAGTTTGTTGACTGATGTGTTGGTTTAATTTTTAGTGAGATGATCTCCCTGAAATCTGACCGTCCTATATCTCTATGACAACAGTTTGATAATTGACATGTTTGCTTTATTTCAGGGAGATGATCTCGCCATGTGCCGAAATCTGACCCTTTTATATCTCTATGACAACAGTTTGATAACTGATATGCTGGTTTTGTTTTCAGGGAGATGATCTCGCTATGTGCCGAAATCTGACCGTTTTATATCTCTATGACAACAAGTTACCCAAGGTTCCAGTGCTGCTTCAGAACCAGAACTTAACACACCTGTACCTGCAGAACAACCACATCACCAGAATGGAAAACCTGGCACCACTACGGAGGCTGACAAAACTGTAAGTGGCAACGTATAAGAGTGGCAGTCCTTCTTTATTACTGTTCTATATACCGTACATGTATTTTTTACAAAAAGATACCAGTTCATGTATTATAGAATTTGTTATCCAAAACTTGATTTATAAGCTGTTTGATTCTCAGTTATTTAGATTATAGTCAGTTATTACTTCATAATTACTTCTCTTTTGTAACTTTTTAAAGCTTACAAGCATCATGATCAACTGAAGTATAGTTTTCCTATATTTTTATGATTGTTTAACAAATTTCTTATGAGAAATACAAATATGATTTTTTCATTTAAACAAACAGAGTGAATTTTTCAATTGAAAAAACTGTAAACATTTTTCTTCCAGTTACTTGGGTGGCAATTCAATCACAGTTGTAGAAGGTTTAGAGAAACTGGACATGCTGCAAGAGTTTCACATAGAGAATCAGAATTTACCACCAGGAGAAAAACTGCTATTTGATCCAAGATCATTAAAAACACTATCAGTAAGTAGATCAAGAGACAGGACCACAAAACAGTTAAGAGATGAAATATTTTAGAAAAATTGTAAAACATGCAGCTGGTGCTCTTGTAATCAAAAACAATAGAAAACCATCTGTTGATATATGTAGGCAATCAATAATCAGAACACTATAGAATATGCATAGAAAACCTTTGATCATATTGATTTTACTTATTTTACCTCACAACCCTGTGGAGGGCTTAGCATTTAGGACCACTTTAAAACCTGTGTTATGTTAAGCTTCTTCTACACCTTTATCCTCTTTATTCCTAATTATATAATGTCAGGTGAGTGCCCAGCTTATATTAAACCTCCCATTGTTACAAGGCATGCTCCAGTTCATGTTGATGAATAACTTGTTATAAGGTGGAGCAAAGGTTTATTAATACAAATTACACATTTGGGTGGGGGAGATCCGTGCTGTAGTGTAGGAAGAGCTTAATTAACATTGATACCAGTACCAGCATGCTTCTGAAGAACACCTGGTATTGTGTATGTATGGTCTGTGGTCAAGTGGAGAAGAATTCAATATCAAATTGATATCAAACTTAGGGGCAGATTGAGGCCGTCTTCTGGGTCTTCCGGAAGATGGTAAGATTTTCAATTTAGGTTGATAGGTTTCTAATTTTTTCTTTTGGAAGAAGGTCAAAAGTGGAGGATGGATCTACAAAGATAAGACTGTTAAAATATCTCTGGATTTGCCCCTGAAACTGATATAGAAAATTGTGTAAAGTTGTAATAAAAAATGAGAAATTAAAAATAAATGCTTGCTACCCTTCCTGATGAGATGAACCTGTACTGTACATGTACATTAATAGATATGATGATACATGGACAGATTTTCTTTTCACTTACCTAAAGTTTTCTGTTTGCTGATATTTTTATTTATTCATGGTACAATTACAACAGCCTGTATTTCATTTATTTTTCTTCTTTTATCGTACAATGTCTGAAGTTAATAACGACAAAGGCCCCAATTTTATTTTATGCCCTGCAAGGCTTTATTTCAAATATTAGTTATGGGATATAAGTATGGAGTGGAGTGAGGAGGAGGGGAGGGGATTTTGTGATTTAAAGTTTGAAATGTTTGGTGGAAGATTTGCATTTGTCTTTGATGTGGAAGAGAAGCTGAATATTTTATGGTATTGATCCTCCATGAAAAGTCAAGTCAGTGTAGCCTGCATATGTACACATCGATGATTTCTATCTCGTGTCTTAGAAAGCACTAATAATTTATACTGTTGGCATGTTATGACAGTATTATTGATTCATGTACAATTTTTTTCATTAACTAAAGGTATCTCTTTATCTGTTCCAGTAATTACACACTCCTGTCTCCTAAATATTTAACCTCAGTTGATGAGAAAATATTGTCAAGAGACAAATAATTGTAAAGAAAGTGTCTGTGTCTAGAGTCTAGACAAATTAAAATCAATGAGTGGCCTGCAGTTGGTTTGGATGGAAAATTTGTGTTTTTACTTTACATAATATTGCACTGTACTTGGTCTTACACCCCTTTATTTAAAAAATACAAAGAATGTCATTATAAAATATAGGAAAAAAGTTATAGGAAGCAGATATGCCAGTAGTAGTACATAATATGATATTACAAGTGCATGTACTGTAGCCAACTCGCAGGCAGGGAAGCCAGCATACGTAGTATTGTGAAAGCAAAGTATTTTTTTGTTGTCATTTCAAGAAAACAGTCCACGCACTAGGAGGCACTACCTTTCATCAGAACACCTGAACTGAATAGAAAAGTTTGTACAATAAACATGGCTGATGTTTGTCATGGGTAACCCTTAAACCACCTTGTGTTATTTTCAGTTTTTTTATGTGTGCGCACTAATATTTGCTGTGTTGGAAAAAGCAACAAGGTGAAGACAAGATATTTACTTTTATTGAGGCACAGCAATCAGAAGAATTTAGACTTTGATGTGAAACAAGTTCTAAAGTGTTGGTAGAGGGATTGGGTTTTGTTGACTTTTACTTTATTGGTTAAGTGGATTTTCTTGCCTGCAACAATCGAGAAAGATTTTGAAAATACCTGCTGCAAGAAAAAATATTTGACAGTTGTAAACAACAACAATGTGACAGGTTATGTACACTTATGCCCTGGGTATTTTATAGCACAGGTGAATTTTTCAATCATGGGCTATATGGTATTGTACATGTATGATATGCTGTACATACTATTACTATATACTAGTATACCAGGTACTACATTTAGTACTGGTGCCTGTAATAGTATGGATCAGGCAACTGCATATAAGCATCATGGTTTATGTAATTGATTCTGTATTTCTCAACCTTTTATTTGAAATACTTTATTTACAAATATAGCAAATAATTTTTTCCCAATTGTCTTGCACATATTGGATTTTAGGATAGTACTCTTAATTGTCTTTGATTCAGATTGCAATACTGACCTACAGTTGAGACTAGAGGACAACATTTTAATCATTAAAAATATATCTCATTCTTTTTTTTTTTCCAGATGTGTTTACAGGTGCTAAATGTGTCAGGCAATAATTTGGACAGCATCCGTGAGCTGGAGTGTCTGAGAGAGTTGACACAAATCATGGCAAATGACAACAATTTGAATGACATGCGTGAGCTGGGGCACCTGTTGACAGCCTGGCGCAGTCTGTGGAGGCTAGAGCTGATAGGAAACCCCATGTGCCACAAGTCGAAATACAGGGACAGGGTCATTGTCATGGCTCATAGGTTAGGTAAGAAACAAAGAAACACTAGGTTAGTATATCAAGCCTGTAGCCAGAGGGGGGTTTGAACAAACCGGCCTTTTTCCCATGAAAAGGCCCATTCTGGGTAAAATTTGATCTAGGCATAGGTCCACTTTTTCAGAAAAAGATCCCCACCCCCTTTTGAAATTGCTGGCAACAGGCCTGATGATGATGATGATGATTTACCTGAAGTGAAGGCTTCAAAGTATGAGATAAAATGATACATGCATTTTTCACCAGATTTCTTTTCTTTATGCCTATAAAATTATTTACAAATTATGATTGACCTGTCTCAAAAATAAAGAAAATAATATTCTACTTTTCTCTGTGGATAATTTATTACTTTTTTATAATTGCTTCTGACTTGCAGAGTGGTTGAGGTGATTATGAAAACAGTCCTCATTTTAGAAATTAAAATGCCTATTTGTCTGCATCTTTACTGGGATTCACTTGTGACACCAGCATCTTGTTTTACAGAGATTTTAGATGGTAAGGAAATCAGTGACAATGCAAGACAGTTCCTGGAGAATTGGCAAGCTTCAAAAGAAAAGAGGAGAGATAACCTCAGTAGGAAAAATACAGAAGATACATTAAATTTAGGTGAGAATTTGTTTTTATGACTTATGAGTCGGGAATTTCAGTATTGTGGTCAATTTGACTGATATGTAGATTGATCTGTGCAAAATGTAGAAAAATATATATTTATTTCTTTTAGACTTAAAGATCTGACCAAACAATGATGGATTCTCTAATTTTTACAATATCCCAAGTAAAATAAAGATCAAACTTCTGGATGTTGTTACAATATTTAAAATAATTTTAAAATCTGTTTGGGAGAGAGAGAGAGAGAGAGAGAGAGAGAGAGAGAGAGAGAGAGAGAGAGAGAGAGAGAGAGAGTGTGTGTGTGATTGTCTGAGTGTGTGTGTGTGTGTGTGTGTGTGTGTGTGTGTGTATGTGCCTGTGTTATAGAAGTCAGTCCAGACCACTATAATCATTATCCTCTACCCCCAGGTCACCTGAAGGACAAGGACCTGCCCCCTGTGGCCTTCCCCAAACATGGAGGTATCCCAGGCTACATCATGCCAGGTAAGAGATACCCCTTCCCCCCTCCCCCCTTCCTGGATCAAATACCATAGAGTACACATGTAATATGTACTGTTTGTATAGCTAGTATAAGGAAGGAGAGTAATACAGCAGTACATATGAATTATATTATAATTGTGTAATATGAGCATATTTGTTGTATGGCACACATGGGCTGCTATACAATATACATGTATGTAAATGACATAAGAATGCTCTAATGGGGGGGTCAGTAAATTTGATCTAATCAGCCAACTAGTAACTGACAAATGAACAATTTTCAAGGGGCAGTGTATATTTATTTTTTTCCTTCCTATTCCCAATGGTAGGTTTACCCAGGAAGCAGTTTGATGATATCCTGGCCCGTTCTGCTAGTCTACCCAACTCTGCTGTCCAACCCCACAGGACCCCCAAGGCCCCCCTGGGCCCTAAGTCTCACAGTGACCTGGTGGGACCAAGGTAAGATAGCAGCCAAATTTATTTTCTTTAATGAGTTTGAGGTGACCAGAATAGTGTGTTCCTTTGGTGAAATGGCTTATTAATGTAATTTACCAAGAAGATGATGTGATGATGTGACTACTCAATTTAAAAATGAATTAATTAACCTTGA